TAGAGGTTTATCTGTGTCCTCAGGGTCACATGAGTAGTGCAAAATGAGTGTGGAGTGGAGTCTTCATGGAACTGTTGATAGGACTGTGTCCAAGAATTTCCGAGAAGGCTCTACCGCCATTTGCACCGTTCCAGTGACCTTCCATTCCCTATCATCCAGTCAGAGCTGAAGAAGCTTCTTGGATGAGAAGCGAAACGTCTTCAAAGAATAACAAGAAAGTCCAGTTGCCTCTTGGAAAAAGCACCTTTGGGACAGCCATGACCTGGATGGCTGAGAATCTCCACAGACAGTGTCCTGAAAGATGGGGTGCCCGATTTGCCCCATTTTTAAAGGCAGCTCAGCATTGAACTGTCGCCATTCTCCAGTCTGGATGCCCGATGGTGCAAGATCAGAAATATTACAGGGATCAGTTTTGCTGGGGGACTAGAAAAACCGAAGTAGAATTAAGGCAAAAATCAGGGAGAGAGGCACACATGAGTTGGAGTTGGCAGAACAGTTTCTCAATCTTTTTAAGATTTGTGGACTTCAACTCCCAGAATTCCATGCTATCTGAGGAATTCTGGGAGTGGAAGGCCATAGGTCATGGAAACTGCTGAGATGGAGAAACATCGTTGTAGAACTGTTTTGAGGCTGGTATATGACAGGAATCTAAATTCTTGACCTGTTAGAACTGGTGGCCTACCCACAATTTGTAACCTAAGTGTAAGTATTGAGTTTCAGCAGATGGTAAAGAATTAGCTAACTTCATCTGAGCATGGAAGCCAACCTAGACATACTTAGAAACATGGTCTTATATGTAAGTAATTTTAAATGATTGTCTTTATGCAGAGTTTGATAGATAAATCACTACTGGTAATCCTTGGCTTACAACCATCCGTTTAGTGATCTTTCAAAGTTACAACAGCACTGAAAAAAGTAACTTATGACCGGTTTTCACTTACAACTAGGGAATCAAGCTATTCTCCAAAGCACTCGAAGGCAGGACAAGAAGCAACGAATGGAAACTAACGAAAGAGAGAAGCAACCTAGAACTAAGGAGAAACTTCCTGACAGTTAGAACAATTAACCAGTGGAACAACCTGCCTCCAGAAGTTGTGAATGCTCCATCACTGGAGGTTTTTAAGAAGAGATTGGACAGCCATTTGTGTGAAATGGTATAGGGCATGGGTAGGCAACCTTGGCTCTTTTATGACTCGTGGACTTCAACTCCCAGAATTCCTGAGCCAGCCATGCTGAGGGAAAAGGGAGAGTTTCCAAGCTGAGCCATGCTGGCTCAGGAATTCTGGGAGTTGAAGTCCACGAGTCATAAAAGAGCCAAGGTTGCCTACCCCTGGTCTAGTCTCTTCTTAAAAACCTCCAGGGATGGAGTGCCCACAATTTCTGGAGGCAAGCTGTTCCACTGGTTAATTGTCCTCACTGTCAGGAAGTTTCTCCTTAATTCCAGGTTTCTTCTCTCTTTGATCAGTTTCAAACCATTGTTTTTCGTCCTTCCCTCTGGTGCTCTGGTGAACAAACTGACCCCCTTCCTTGTGGCAGCCCCTCAGAGACTGGAACACTGCTATTATGTCTCCCCTATTTCTTTTCTTTAGACTAGCCAAACCCTAAATCCCGTAGCCGTTCTTCGTATGTTTTAATCTCCAGGCCTTTGATCATCTTAGTTGCTCTTATGGTTTGACGATTCGCTTAAAACATTTATATAGCCACCCACTTCTATCAGACTCTGGGCAGCTCCCCAACAGGAGTTCAAAGAACTGAAAAACCTTATAAACCAAATTCATAAAAACAAAAGCCTGTCGCCCCAAGTCAAACTTCCCATGTGAAGCTACCACACCCTATCCCAGTGGTAGGCAACCTTGGCTCTTTTATGACTCGTGGACTTCAACTCCCAGAATTCCTGAGCCAGCATAGCCCAGCATGGAAACCTCTCCCTTTCCCCTCAGCATGGCTGGCTCAGGAATTCTGGGAGTTGAAGTCCACAAGTCATAAAAGAGCCAAGGTTGCCTACCCCTGCCATCCCATCACTTGGAGGAAAAGCCGGGTCTTCAGTGCATTAGAGAAAGCTAGGAGGGTGGAGGCCTGTTTAACCACAGGGGGAAGGTTGTTCCCTGGGACAGGGACATGCTTCCTAACCCCCATAAATTGGCAATGTTTAAAGGATGGGAGGGTTACCTACCCTATCTAATCTGGTAACCCAGATAGATGTCCTTAGGGAAAGACGATCTCTTGCAGATTTCAGTTAAGCTCCTTTAATTGTATTTGCTCTTTTGACGCTGCCTTTTGAGTCAGGATCTTGCACAGGATGTAGACCAACATCCAGGGAAATTATGCTCAAGATTTGCAGCCATTTAGATGTTAGCTAAAGCTGCTGTTATTCAAGGCACTCGTTTACCTGTTGATTCAACACTGAAACGATGTTCAAGTCCATTCTCAACAAAACTCCCTTCTTTTGGTTTAGTTTTAAAATGTTAAGGTGACCGATCATCCTCCTTTAGGCAGGACAGTCCTTCTTTTGTAAGTTCTGTCCTCTCTCGAAAAGTGTCCTCCTACATGTCCTCCTTTTCGATATTTGAAGACTAATCTGTAAATCTCTGTATTCGATCGATGGCGAGCCGATCCGTTGCGTGTGATGTGACATATTTGTATTTGACATGACGATTTGTCAAGGTTCAGTACAGTGTGGTGAGATGCGATTATGAGACGCATGCGCGCCGCACAGGCAAATTGTTTTGAGAGAGTGTGCCACGTGCCAGAGTACGCCGCACGCAAGTGGCTTTGATTACTTCTTACCGAAACACGACACGGCACACACGCACACATTAGACTCACTTTTTTTTCTTCAATTTATGTGTGTCCTCCTTCTCATTGTAAAAAAGTTGGTCACCTTAAAAATGTTGGTCTATATCTTGTTCTTGATTTGAAAGGTGAGGCTCTCTGGAGAATGGATTTCCAGCTGTCTTATTAAAAGTGGTAGCGGCTAATTAGACGCTAATGGGCCGAGACTGTATTTGGAGACTTCTTCAATCGTGCCTTATCATTCAGTGCTTTTAGCACTGCCCTATGTGTCCTTTAAATTTATAGGCACAGAAGTCTTCTCAAGCACAGCCTAAGTTCAGAAATAAACCAGCTGTGTCTTTGGAGGGATAGCAATAGAGAAATATGCTTCAGGTCGTCAGCTTTGTAGGAAGAGTCGTGCTAGCAAAAAATAAGGAGTCTGGGAGCACCTTTTCCAACTAACAAATTGAATCGGAAAGCAAAAGCTGCAGCTCACAAAATCTTACACTGTTAGGTAAATTTTGTCAGTCAGAAAAAGTGTTACTACATAGGCCAGTGGTGGCGAACCTATGGCACGCGTGCCAGAGGCGGCACTCAGAGCCCTCTCTGTGGGCACACGCGCCATGCCCCGGAGATGGCAACCGTCCCTCTTCAACCAGCCGCCCGCTAACTCGCCGAGGTCCCACGTGGCCGGATGCATCCCAGCATGGCTGGTTTCCCTCCCCCCCCATCCCATCCCTCCTGGCCTTGCATGCTCTCCTTTTCCCGGGCACGACCCAGTGCATCACCTCCTCAGCTGTTGGCCGGCTGTCCAGCTGAGAGGCAGTTTCTCTGAACTGCTGGCAGCGAGCTGCAAAGCCCCAGAGTGTGCGCCGGTCGAGGGGCGAGCAGGCTGTGGCTGCTGACAGACATTGTCAGCCCACATGTGCTCGCTGGCCTCTGTGTGCGGGGGCCGATGTGTCAAGCAGCGGTTGCCCCGGCCTGCCTTGCCTTGCCCTGCGACAATGGCACCCCTGCCCTGCCTTGTCTCACCTCACTCCACAGGACGAGCCTCCTGCCCACCTCCCCACCTGCCAGAGACCCCCTGGATCTCCCCCAATCCTGCCCGGCCCCCACAGGCGTCCCTCCCCACGAGCAACATCGAGGTGACCAGGCCCACCTTGGCCACACCCACCCAGTCTGCCATGACCACCACAGCCACGCCCACCCAGTGGGCCACGCCCACCCAGCACCCGGTGATAAATAAGTGGGTTTTGGGTTGCAGTTTGGGCACTCGGTCTCTAAAAGGTTCGCCATCACTGACATAGGCTTTTTTTTTTTATCCTGGATAGTGTCAGCCACACTCCTGCAAATTATTGCATTACAACAATTGGGATCAGATCTGTGGTCATAAATCATTACAGTCGTAAGTCGAGGGTGCCGTGTGAGCAGACCTGGTGTTACATTTTTTGTGGAGGTCATTAAGCAAATCATCGTAGCTGTTAAGTAACATGGTTAAGGCACCAGGCTAAAAAGCAGGAGGCAGTGAGTTCTAGTCTCGCCTTAGGCATGAAAGTCAGTTGGGTGGCTTTGAGTCAATCACCAGTGGACGGTGAGTTCTAGTCCTGCCTTAGGCATGAAAGCTGGCTGGTGACTTTGGTCCAATCATCCTTTCTCAGCCCAACTCAGGGTCGCTATCGGCAAAATAGAAGGAGAAAGGTGTGTTGGATATGTTTGCCATCTTACTTGTAAAAATAATAAAGGCGGAATACAAACAAACAAACAAATAAAGGAGGACAACATGCTCTTCTTTTCCCACAAACTATAAAAATGCAACAGCCCGCTTTAGGGAACCTGCGAGAATCAAGCACAGATAACAACAGAAGAAGTTTTATTGACCATTCCCAGCGTGAAAACAAGCTACATGGAATTTTCCCATTCTGTTAACACTGTAAATGTTACTTTTATATTTAAAATTGATTTTCTCCTAACGCATATACTATTCTGGAAAAAAATTTCCACCCACCCACCCCACTTAATGCAGAAGGCCCATCACTTCGTGGCTGAACTTATGTTCTTATGTTCCTTTAATTTTCTTGGCTTATTTCTCTCTGCCTTTGACTGGGGCTGATTCAAACAGCTGCTAAGGAAGATGAGTGGGAACATACAAGAGCTCTGTCTGATGGGTGGAGTTTTTTTGCTTTGTTTCACAAAGGTTAAAACTGTCACCAGTGGAGCAGAATAGAAACTTAAATGGTTGCGGAAGACTGTGATCTAAATTCTTGAAGGATCTTCATTGAAAGCTTCCTGGATAACAGCTCACTGTCTTCGGCTATCTTATCAGAATGACCTGCAGCCAACATCTGCAGAAGAAACTGGAACAGAGAAGCATAAGCAGTACTTAAAATCACACAATTCTCTCAGTCAAATACACCCAGCTCTATATTCCATCAGTATCCTATATCACAGAATATTACTGTTGAAAGAAAAGTCTTCATCGTGGTTCAGTCCAAGCTGGGGATAAACAACATGCTGACTGCTTTAGAAAGAAGGTTGCAGTTTATTAAGGTGACCAACCGTCCTCCTTTAGGGAGGACAGTCCTCCTTTTGTAAGGTCTGTCCTCCCTCAAAAAGTGTCCTCCTACATGTTCTCCTTTTTGATATTTGAAGACTAATCTGCAGGGCTTTTTGTTTTTATCATAGAACGCTCAGAACGGCGTTCCGGCACCTTTTTTTGATGGGTTTTTTTCAACTTTTGCATGAGCTGTGCTACTCCCCCTATTGGCTTTCGAAAGCCAATAGGAATTGCTGCTGAGCGCGCCAAAACACCCGGCCAGCAAACTTTGCACATGCAAGTTGTCTGCAGCGAAGGCGAATTGGCAGGAACTTTGCACCCCTCCCTGCTGCTCAACTACACCATCTCCTAGTTAGTTCCGAAGAGACTGGAGCGGTAAGTTTCTCTTGACCTTCAGCTTTGCTAGGGCAATAATGGCTGCGGGCGCAAGAGGCAGGGGTGGCGGGGGTGCTGCGGGTGGGGGTGTGAGGGGCGGCAGCAGCTGGCTGCCTCCCGTGCTGTGGGAGCCGTGGGGCCCTCTCTACACGGGGCTGCGCAGGGTGAGCGGTGGTGCTGGCGGGGTGGCTGCAGGTGGGGTGTGTGTCGACAGCGGGCTGCCCCCCAGGGCCAGAGCCGGCACGGCTGGTGCTTTGGGAGCCGCGGGGCCCGCTCTACACGGCGGGGCAGCGTTGCTGGCGGGGCGCGGCGGGCGGTTGACCTTCCATGGGCCGGGCCAGCTTTTACGATATTTTTTTCTTCAATTTATTTGCGTCCTCCTTTTCATTATAAAAAAGTTGGTCACCTTACGTTTATTGAAGAGGAGAGCCAGACAGAAAGATGGGTCTGGCAGAAAAGAGAGAAAAAAGGGCTGATCACATGTAGGGAGTGGGTTTTTATACCCTCTGGAGCCTTTTGTTTGGAAGTTATTTCCTGTGTCATGTATTTTGACCTGTGTCCCTTGGGCATCTGTGAGTTAATCCTATTATGTCCTGTCTTAGACCTTGGGTGGGGTATGTAGATTTTAGGTGTCTTTGTCTTCCTAAGCTTCTAGCTCCAACTTTCCTGAATGATCTGCATCTGCATTTCTATAGAGCTAGTTTCTGCTTGGGGGAGGGAGACCTGGGGATATTAAGAAAAACTGGGCATGCTTTCCTGCGTTTTTTTTAAATCCTTTGAGGAAATATATTTTTCTGCCCTTTTAATATTTCCTTCTCGGGGGGGGGGCTGACTTTCCACATTATCTTATGAGATGTTCACAATCCCCACTCAGCTCACTGTGACATCAAACATTACAGTGATATAAGAAAGGTTGGTGGGCAGAGAGCTAGGTTAGTAACTAGAACAGGGGTCTTCAAACTTGGCCCTTTTATGACTTGTGGACTTCAACTCCCAGAATTCCTCAGCCAGGCACACGTGCCTGGCTGAGGAATTCTGGGAGTTGAAGTCCACAAGTCATAAAAGGGCCAAGTTTGAAGACCCCTGAACTAGAAGATGAACGGGTCAACCTGAACAGGTTACGCTGAGCATGTGTTGAATTCACAGCCCTGAAAATATTCTTAACTCCTTTGTCCCTAACCAGCTTGGCAGTGGTTGGGATAAGGAGAGTTGTGTGACCCAACAAGAATAGGATTATCACAAGCTCCTCACTCGGTTTTACAGTTTTGGAAAACCCTAGTCATTCTTCAATCCAGAGAATTTTAAACAAATCACTATCGGGATTCAATCCTGAATATTTCTGATACTTACCAATGTTTGCACAGGAATCCATATTAGAACAGCAGTAGCTCAAATAATTTGGTGGAAATGGTTAAGAAGATTTAACCCAAGCATAGAACTTTCTTCTCTCAAATAACATTTGATTGTTAGTATATAAGATTCACTTAACAACTGTGTTACTAACTTAACAACTGCAGCGATTTATTTAACAAATGTGGCAAGTAAGGTCGTAAAATGGGGCAAAATTCACATAACAAATGTCTCACTTAGCAACATAAATTTTGGGCTCAACTGTGGTCGTAAGCTGAGGACTACCTGTACTACATGTTGGCCTGTAGACTTGCCTATTCATCTATCTACTACAGGGGTCTTCAAACTTGGCAACTTTAAGACTTGTGGACTTCAACTCCCAGAATTCCTCAGCCAGCCCTTGGAGTTGAAGTCCACAAGTCTTTTTTTTTTTTTTTTTTTTAAAGAAATTTTATTTATTTTTCAATCATAAAAAAACATCATAAATGTACACAATAACACAATAACAATAACCCCCCACCCACCCCCCGGACTCCCCAAACCTAATCCCAGGATAATATTCATATAAAAGTAAACAAATATTAATCTCTCTAGCTCTACAAAGTATCTTGGTCTACTAGAAAAGGTAGTAGAAATAAACCAACTTGCAAAGTTAAAAACCTAACCTGTATTCTACCACTTTATGTTTCTTTTGAATATAAACAATCCATCTTCCCCATATTGATAAAAATTGTTCATTCGAGTGATTCTTCAAATAAGCCGAAATCTTTGCCATTTCAGCAAGATACGAAACTTTCAGTCTCCAGTCTCCCATCGTTGGCAGAGTTGGGCTCTTCCAATTTTGGGCTATTAACAGTCTAGCAGCAGATAAACAATAAAGCATCAAATTTGTCTCTTTTACATCTAAATTCTGCACAATACCTAAAAGGAACAATTGTGGTAGAAAAATAATCCTTTTTTTGAAAATCTGCTGTAGGTTCCACCATAGTTGTATCCAAAAAGCCTTGATAATCTTACAAGTCCACCACATATGGAAAAACGTTGCATCTGGGTGACCACATCTCCAACACTTGGATTCATAATTCGGATAAATACGAGACATAGTTGATCTATAAAACATCTTATAAAAATTTTCACGTAAATTCTGAGCTTGTGTGAACTTCACATTTCTCACCCAGATAAGTCCACAAGTCTTAAAATTGCCAAGTTTGAAGACCCCTAATCTACTACTTCTTTTACAGTTCACAGATTTTAATCTATGAAAATCTGATTGTGCCAGACAGTAAAAGAAGTAAAGCTTGCTCTTGAAGGCCACATAGAATATCCGTGTTACTTTCCTGACAATAGTGAAGAAGTAGTGTGTCGTTTCTCTCTTCCACGATCTTTTTCAAAAGCATCCCGTCGAATCAGATTTCCTCATGATTTCTCAAGTTCTAATAACGTTTTGCTCTGCTTCTTTCTTTCTTTATTTTTTTCAAGCATGATAAAGTTGGCTAAATAGTGCTCCCTGGTGGGAGAGTTAGAGATTCCCAAAGTTGTTCTGAAAACTTTGAGATATTTTCTTTCAACCTCATTTATCGTGAATGAAGGCAAATATATACACGTCCCAGGATGATGTTGAAGGATCCAATTTGGGTTGTTCACCAGGATCAGAAGTTTAGTCTTCCGAGCTTTCGGACTCATGATGGAGCCCACCCTCAGGAAACTTCTCTCTCACCAGAATGTGTGCCTTATTTATTTCCGTGTCCTAGACCAGACTTTTTCAGCCTTGGCAACTGGAAGATGCGTGGACTTTAAATCCCATGATGGATTGAAAAGAGGATGGAACTGGCAAAGATGGTGAAGCTGACTGCATTAATTGGGCATTCCTTCACTGGAGGTCTTTAAGAGGAAACTGGATATATGTCTGAAATGGTGTAGGTAGGGACTCCTGCTTGAGCAGGGGGTTGGACTAGAAGACCTCCAAGGTCCCTTCCAATTCTGTTATTCTATTCTATTCTATTCTATTCTATTCTATTCTATTCTATTCTATTCTATTCTATTCCCCATTTTCTATTCTATTCTATTCTATTCTATTCTATTCTATTCTATTCTATTCTATTCTATTCTATTCTATTCTATTCCATTCCATTCTATTCTATTCTATTCCCCATTTTCTATTCTATTCTATTCTATTCTATTCTATTCTATTCTATTCTATTCTATTCCTATTCTAGGACAAGAATGCAAATAGTTTTGGAAACAGCTTCTGGACTTTCTGCGTGAAAGAGAAAAAAAAAATGAAACCTTGACTTTGGGTTTTGACAATTAGGTGGGTTATTATTATAGAAATAGCTAGAGGTTATTATTTGCAATAACTACAAAGTTGATATTACAACTTTACTATGCATCTTACAGCACTGAAAAAAGTTAGAAGTCACTGCCTGTTTATTTCTTTTCCCCCTTTCCCTCACTTTATCCCCTCTATTGCCTTTCTTTTCTGTTTTCCACTGTCTTTATTTCTGTTTGTATTTTATATTAAGAAAAAAGCCTTTAATGATGATCATGACAGATAGATAGATAGATAGATAGGTAGGTAGGTAGGTAGGTAGGTAGGTAGGTAGGTAGGTAATCAGGCAGGCAGGCAGGCAAGCAGGCAGGCAGGCAGGCAGACAGACAGACAGATGATAGATGGATGGATGGATGGGTGGGTGGATGGGTAGATAGACAGACAGACAGATGATAGATGATGGATGGTTGGATGGATAGATAGGTAGTTAGGTAGGTAGGTAGGTAGGTAGGCAGGCAGGCAGGCAGGCAGGCAGGGAGGCAGATATGTGGACTTCAAGTCCCAGAATTCCCCAGTCAGCTATGCTATGCTGGGTGGGGATTTCTATGACTTGAATTCTACACATCTTCAAGCTGCCAAGATTGAGAAACACTGGTCTAGTAGACTGTGATCTAATACTTTATAATAGCTGAGATAGCACTACAGCCAGAATGACATTCCTAGGAGAGATAGGCACTACTCTTCCTTAATCTATTGGCAGAAAATATGTGTGTATGATAACTAATCTGCAAAGTGACCTTTAAACTATTTGTGGGTATAGTATATGTGGTCTGGATGCCTGTTTTCTTTGGAGTAGTGTGTTTGTGTGGGGGGTTTGAGTTCTAAGAAGACAAGAGCTGCTAGGTAAAAGGTTATTCCTTCTTATCATTATACCCTTTATTCTCTGCTTTTTTCTAAAGGAACTTTGCAAACATTTACTTAATGCTTCAGGAATCAGCCTCATAACAATTCTTGCCAACAGATTCCTTTTAGTTCCATACACGTTCAGACTCTTAAACGCCTCTGTACTTTATGACAATAACAGCAGCAGCAGCAACAACAACAACAATAATAATAATAATTTAAAATTTGTTTGCCACCCAACTCAACACAAGGCAACTCCGGGTGGCAAACAAATGCAAAAGACTGAACTACAAAATACCAATCCTTACTGCAACTTAAATAAGGATTTTAAAATGGACAATTTAGATTAGTTTGTGGGGGTTTTTCCCCAAAGCTGTGAAGCCTGTTGGGTCAAAGGCAACAGGAGAGCTAATTCATCTGAGAAGATCAAGGGGCCAAGCTATCAGTCAAAAAGTCCCTGGTTCAGTCTTCCCTCTACAACATCGATCAGTTGAATAGGTGACTTGAGTAAGCCTGCAAGAAGAGAATAATAAAACTGACCTATGTTACAAGCTTTTTGAAAAGAATCGTGCTGGGGTAGGCACCCTCGGCTCTTTTATGACTCATGGACTTCAACTCCCAGAATAGCTGACTCAGGAATTCTGGGAGTTGAAGTCCATGAGTCATAAAAGAGCCGAGGGTGGGCCTACTGAAGGCAAATTTTAAGGGGGAGAATTGAGAAATCTTGTCCAGTCATTGTTGTTTCCCCCCACACACACTTTGGACTGAAAACTCCTAATGGCTGGTTGTCTTTTTGCTTTCTCTCAACACCCTGTTTCTCTTAGAGCAATACATGATGTCAAACTACTAATGTGGGAATGAACAAAGTGAGATTCAAAGTAGAAGTAGACTCTGATTAATGGTTTGTTATTTGGTCTTACCTGGAAAAACAAGATGTTGAGCAGGTACCACAAGTACGTTAAGTTTTATAAGGTCTCCTGCCTCGGTCCAGGGGTCTGGACTGGAGGATCTCCAATGTTCCTCCCATCCCTGTGATTCTATTACATCTACAGGCAGTCTTTGACGTACGACCGCAATGGAGCTTGCATCGAGCGAACCAATAATTCTCTATAGGCATGGTTTCTGGCAAAACCATTGTAAAATGCAGTCATATGACTATAGAATGCTGCAAACAAGCCATAAATGCAGCTGTGTTTCTGGGTACCAAAAGTACAGTCATGTGACTGCAGAGGAGACTCAACCGTCAGAACTTCGAATTCTGGGTCATAAATCCCCTTTTTTGAGTCAGTCGTAAGCCAAGGATTGCCTGTATTTTCAAATGGCTAAAGGCCACCCCACAGTAGGCAGGTGAGCGGACATGTCACACTAGGTTTGGGACCCTGGCAGCCACTGACTTAACCACTCTAAGGGAGACAGAATGCCACTGCCTCCATTGGTCTGTGGGGAGCCCAGGTCCAATATGGGATCAGATCCAAGGAGTTCACTCACCTGAGGCTTCCTGTAGCCTTTCCTTTCAAGGAATTGTTCAAAGGCATACGTTCCATGCAGTGGAGATTCTAATTCTGCCTCGGCCTGCAAGAGATTTTATTCATTTCCCACGTCAAGAGACTACTTGAGTTGGAACAGAACAGAACAGAACACAACAGAACAGAACAGAATAGAATAGAATAGAATAGAATAGAATAGAATAGAATAGAATAGAATAGAATAGAATAATGAATAGAATAGAATAGAATAGAATAGAATAGAATAGAATAGAATAGAATAGAATAGAATAAAGAATTAGAATAGAATAGAATAGAATAATGAACAGAATAGAATAGAATAGAATAATGAGAAGAAGAAGAAGAAGAAGAAGAAGAAGAAGAAGAAGAAGAAGAAGAAGAAGAAGAAGAAGAAAAGAAGCAAAAGCAGAAGCAGCAGAAGAAGAAGCAGAAGAAGCAGAAGAAGAAGAAGCAGAAGAAGAAGAAGAAGAAGAAGAAGAAGAAGAAGAAGAAGAAGAAGAAGAAGAAGAAGAAGAAGAAGAAGAAGAAGAAGAAGAAGAAGAAGAAGAAGAAGAAGAAGAAGAAGAAGAAGAGGAGGAGGAGGAGGAGGAGGAGGAGGAGGAGGAGGAGGAGGAGACTATGACCATGAGGTACTTGGTGCTCCCTCTCAGCTTGATGCTTTTCTTGAAGATGTTTCGTTACCAAACTAAGTAATATCATCAGTGCAGTATTAATAAAGAATTAAAAAGCAATAACTTTAAAACAGGGCTAAAACACACACCAGAAGTAGTGAGGAGATTCAACACTGAGGGGAGCCAGCAAAGAATACAATGTGGAATGCTGCGAAGTTACCTTTTGGACAATCTTCTTCCTGGCGTTCAAGAAGATTTGCAGACATTCCGGAATTTCTTCCTTCTCAGTTGCTCGCTTCTTTTTCCACGTCTTTGGGGGAAGGTACCAGGCTCCATATTTAATCTTTTCCCATTTGGGCTCAGAAGGGGTTAGCTAAAGGCAAGAGACGTCAGACTTGTTTTTCCAACGTCCTGATCATTGGTGCATTTTCTGCAAGTATAATACCGAGCAATGATCGAGGACGTCTCCAGACCGATGGTCTTTTAGTTCTTCAGCTCTTTGGGTTGCACAGAATAACAGAGTTGGGAGGGACCTTGGAGGTCTTCTAGTCCAACCCCCGGTGCAAGCAGGAAACCCTATATACCAGTGGTGGCGAACCTATGGCACGCATTCCAGAGGCGGCACTCAGAGCCCTCTCTGTAGGCACCACGCACCATGCCCTGGAGATGGCAACCGTCCCTCTTCAACCAGCCGCCCGCTAACTCGCCGAGCTCCCACGTGGCCGGATGCATCCCAGCATGGCTGGTTCCCCTCCCCCCCCATCCCATCCCTCCTGGCCTTGCGTGCTCTCCTTTTCCCGGGCACAACCCACTGCATCGCTTCCTCAGCTGTCGGCCGGCCATCCAGCTCAGAGGGGGCTTCTCTGAACTGCTGGCAGTGGGCTGCAGAGCCCCAGAGTGCGCCGGTCAAGGGGCCGGCAGGCTGTGGCTGCTGACGGACACTGTCGGCCCCCATGCGCTCGCTGGCTTCTGTGTGCGGGGGCCGATGGTGTCAGGCAGCAGCCGCCCCGGCCCCTGCCTCGCCTTGCCCTGCGACAATGGCACCCCCGCCCTGCCTCGCCTTGCCCAGCCTCACCCCGCAGGACGAGCCTCCTGCCCACTGCCCCACCTGCCAGAGACCCCCTGGATCTCCCCCAACCCTGCCTGGCCCCCACAGGCGTCCCTCCCCATAAGCAACATCGAGGTGACCACGCCCAGCTTGGCCACACCCACCCAGTCTTCCATGACCACCACAGCCATGCCCACCCAGTGAGCCACGCCCACCTGGCACCCGGCAATAAATAAGTGGGTTTTGGGTTGCAGTTTGGCCACTCGGGCTCTAAAAGGTTCGCCATCACTGCTATATATCATGTCAGACAAATGGCTGTCCAATCTCTTCGTAAAAAACCTCCAGTGATGGAGCACCCGCAACTTCTGGAGGCGTTCCACTGATTTTAGGAAGTAGTTGCTGGCCTTGCTGAAGTCTCACGAGACTACCTGGGGCATTCTGGGAGTTGAAGTCCACCCATCTTGAAAATTACCGAGGCCGACCAACCTGGCCCACTTATTTTTTTTTTTTTTACGTGACACACACATGATCAAATCCCTCCAGAACTATCTCAGTGTCTGTTACCGTTGCCGTCATTTTGCTCTCCTTACCTTTGTGGGAGCCCTCTTCCGGAACCGATGCCTCCCCAGGTATTGTCTCAGCTCTGCTGGTATTTGATACAGCTCCACTATTTTAAGGGGCAGGGCTGTCTTGATATCCGTTTCGTACCTCGTGTCAAAGAGCTTCATGATAGTGTCTTCGTCAATATTGTATTTCTCGCCTCCCTGGGACAGTAAACCAAGCATACACGTTCAGGTAACATTGCAAACACCTCTTGGTTGTGAGTGTGAAAAACAGTCATCGGTCACTTTTTTCAGTGCCGTTGTAACTTGGAACGGTCACTAAAGGAATCGTCGTAAGTCGAGGATCGTCTGTATCGTTCTTAGTCCGTACTGTACTTCAATTTTCTTTTGTCTTTGAACACTGTCCAATGGTCGAATTATTGTCACGCCTGCACTGGAGGCCTAGTTGTGTGTTCTTTAAGTCCTTTAAAGCAGGGGCCTTCAATCTTGGCAACTTGACGGCTTGTGGACTTCAACTCCCAGAATTCCTCAGCCAGCTGGGCATGGCTGGCTGAGGAATTCTGGGAGTTGAAGTCCACAAGTCATCAAGTTGCCAAGATTGAAGGCCCCTGCTTTAAACATTGTGCTCTACCATATAATAATAATAATAATAATAATAATAATAATAATAATAATAATAATAATAATAATAATAGGAAGAAGAAGAAGAAGAAGAAGAAGAAGAAGAAGAAGAAGAAGAAGAAGAAGAAGAAGAAGAAGAAGAAGAAGAAGATGATGATGATGATGATGATGATGATGATGATCAGGAAGGCTTACTGACTACTGGAGAGACCAAACTGGCCTACAAGAAAGACCAAATGAAGAACAGAATAGAGGCATGGGAACACAAAGCACTACATGGCCAGTACATTAAAAAAATAGCTGGGAAAGCAGATAATAAGACCTGGCAATGGCTAAGAGCAGGAAAATTGAAGAAGGAGACCGAGGGTCTAATTTTGGCTGCACAAGACCAAGCCTTAAGGACAAATGCATACAAAGTCAAAATTGAGAAGGCAGCAACAGACAGTAAGTGCTGCCTATGCAAAGAAGCTGAAGAAACAGTGGACCACCTGGTAAGCTGCTGCAAGAAGATTGCACAGACTGACTACAAGCAGTGGCATGACAAAGTAGCAACAATGGTGCATTGGAAGATCTGCAAGAAATATCATTTGCCTGTAAGCAAAAACTGGTGAGATCATAAAATAGAGAAAGTCATAGAAAATGATAAAATTAAACTGCTCTGGGACTTCAGAATTCAAACAGACAAGCACCTGCAACATAACACCCCGGACTTAACAATTGTCGATAAGAAAGACAAAAAAGTCTGGGTAGTGGACGTGGCAGTGCCTGGAGACAGTAGAACAGATGAGAAAGAACTGGAGAAGATAACAAAATACAAAGACCTACAAATAGAAATAGAAAGACTGTGGCAAAGGCAAGCAAGGGTAGTACCAATAGTAATAGGGGCCTTGGGTGCAATCCCAAAACAACTGGAGCACCACTTGGACACCATTAGCATTGACAAATTCGCCATTAGTCAATTGCAAAAGGCGGCCTTACTAGGAACTGCTTCCATCCTGCAATAATATCTGTAATACCATCAAACATCCACATCTGCTTATCCCAGGTCCTTGGGAAGGACTCGATAGGTAGACAAAATGCCAAATCCAGTCTGAACATCTGGCTGACTGTGTGATGATCCATAATAATAATAATAATAACAACAACAACAACAACAACAACAATAGGGCAAACTTGCTTTTATTATGGGTCAATAATTGTTGAGGGCAGCCTTCTTTTTCCTGTCCTCTACTGTGTCTTTCACAAGAGTCTGCCATGACTCATGTGCAGAACACCCTAATCAGACTTTCAATCCATGCTGAATCATCAAGCCTCTTTAGAAAATCCTTTCCTATTTCCTCTTTTTTTTATTTTTTTACCCCATCGCAAAAGTTTTAAAACAATGTCAACATTCTCCTTAGGTTCATATTTCTGCCGTTTCTGATTTCCTAATTGGTTCCCAAGGCTACTTCTGCTTAATGGGTAACAATAAGAGAACCGAGATAAAACGTGACATGCAGCAGGCATGTTGAGAAAATCAATGGTTCAAAAGTCAAATATTTTCTAATATTCTAATAATATCATTTTACAATGCCTTGGTAAGGCCACACTTGGAATCCTGCATCCAGTTTTGGTCACCACGATGTAAAAAAGATGCTGAGACTCTAGAAAGAGTACAGAGAAGAGCAACAAAGATGATCAGGGGACTGGAGGCTAAAACATATAAGGAATGGCTGCTGGAATTGGGTATGTCTAGTTTAACAAAGAGAAGGACGAGGGGGACATGATAGCAGTGTTCCAATATCTCAGGGGCTGCCCCAAAGAAGAGGGAGTCAAGCTATTCTCCAAAGCGCCTGAAGGCAGGACAAAAAGCAATAGATGGAAACTAACCAAAGAGAGAAGCAACCTAGAAACTTCCTGACAGTTAGAACAATTAACCAGTGGAACAACCTGCCTCCAGAAGCAGTGAATGCTCCAACCCTGGAAGTTTTTAAGAAGAGACTGGACAACCGTTTGTCTGAAATGGTATAGTGTTTCCTCCCTGAGCAGGGGGTTGGACTTGATGACCTCCAAGGTCCCTTCCAACTTTTTTATTATTATTATTATTATTATTATTATTATTATTATTATTATTATTATTATTATTATTATTATTATTATTATTATTATTATTTCATTGTGTTAATGTCAGATAGGAATAATAGTTACAGGTAGTCCTCGGCGTACATCAGTTCGTTTAGTGACCGTTTGAAGTTACAACGGCACTGAAAAAAGTGACTTATGACTGCTTGTCACACAACCGTTTCAGCATCCCCAAGGTCGCGTGAACAAAATTCGGACGCTTGGGAACTGACTCATATTTACGACGGTTGCAGCGTCCCGGGGGTGATGTGATCCCCTTTTGCGACTTTCTGACAAGCAAAGTCAATTGGGGAAGCCAGATTCACTTAACAACCATGTTACTGACTTAACAACTGCAGTGATTCACTTAAGAACCGTGGCAAGAAAGGTTGCATAATGGGGCAAAAGTCACTTAACAAATGTCTCGCTTAACAACGGAAATTTTGGGCCCGATACAAGTGTATTGGGTAGAGCAGGGGTCTTCAAACGTGGCCTTTTTATGACTTGTGGACTTCAACTCCCAGAATTCCTCAGCCAGCGTGCCAAGGGCCAAGTTTGAAGATTCATCCAGATGCTTTCTTATTGTCCTTAGTAGAGACCTGCTGTTATTTTGCGTGTTGAGTCAACACTACCCTTCTTCCGTTAGAAAAATTTGCTTGTCATCACTCTGCATTGCTGTTGTTGTTCGGTCGCTAAGTTGCGTCCAACTCTTCAGATCGCATGAACCAGAACACACCAGCCCTTCTCTCTCCCCCCCCCACCCATCCTCCACTGTCTCCCAGAGTTTGCCCGTATTCATGTGATTAAATGAACGGTTGTAAGTGAAGGACCATCTATATAGAGGTATCAAACGAGGGGTGTGTGTTTGCTTGCTGCGTTTACACTGCCTGCTCAGTTGTAGCGGTTTTCATTCCACAGATATTTTTACTTACCATTGCATTAACCCATTCACAAAATTCCTTTGTTACCCGCTTGACGTTTTCATCCAGGGGGGGAACGTAATCTATTTTGGCTGCCTGTTGTCTCTGCGCCACCTCTTTCTTACTAAACCAGGTGTAGGGGTTCTTTTTTTTGTGCATCCAGCTGCAGATACAAAAAGGGTAGAGTCCGTCATTAAATGAATGAGACAAAAATAAAACCAAAAAAATAATAATAATAATTGCTAGAGTACTGGTAGTCTTTGACTTACATCCATTGGCTTAGTGACTCTTCAAAGTTACAAGAGCATTCATTCTGTTCATATCTTTTTGTAAGGGCCTAAAGATCAGTCGACTTGGGCCTCCAGTGTGGGAACAGCGCAATAGAAGTGATTGAGTAACAACAGATTCCCCCCTCCCACTCTATCCCCACCCTCCTCCTGTGTCCTTGGTTTTAATGTCTGATTTTAACTTTTTATGCTTTAACTGTATATGTAACTGTAAGCTGCCCAGAGTTACCCTATGGCAGGTCTAGGGAACCTTGGCTCTTTTATGACTTGTGGACTTCAACTCCCAGAATTCTTGAGCCAGCATGGCTGGTTCAGGAATTCTGGGTTTTGAAGTCCACAAGTCACAAAAGAGCCACGGTTGCCTACCCCTGCCCTAGGGTAAGATGGGCAGCCAATAAATTGTATAAATTAATTAATTAATATAATCAAATAGGAAGATCTGAGGCACGCTTTGGAAGGATATAGTCCAGAGGTTTGTGCCGCAAGAGTCCATGTTCTGTGACATGAATCAAAATGCCTTTGTAATCCAATCACAGACAGATAAACTCAAATAAAGATGATTCCAAAACAGATATTTATTCAGTCAGAAAGCAATACTTGCTATTTGTAGATTCCGTCTGGATATTGCACATCTGTTCATCTTCATTAGGTAAATTCATTAGTTCCTCCACATCAACTTCTTACGTGGAATGGGACCATCTGAGTCATCCGATGGCCCCATGCTAATCTCAGACAAAGAACATTCCAAACTGGCACTTAGCCAGTATATCCTGTGATGAACTTTAGTGGCTCCTCCCACAGATCTGTTAACATGAGATAGCTGACTAGCTAAACTACATTACCCATAAGCCATCTCTTAAGGAGACAGCACTTAACCCAATAAATGCCAAACATTCTAACATACAGCTCTACATGCTCTAGTCAGGGTTACAACGATTCAGAACTGTCCACGACCATTTTCCTTCACACTTCAACCCATAGCAAGGCCCAAGCACTACCCATCGTTTGGCTACGGCATGGGGAATTGGGCCCCCCAAGTTTTTCTTTCTTTATTTCATTTTTATTTGTTAAAAACTGCATTAATATAATCAAATATGAAGATCTGAGGCACGCTTTGGAAGGGTATAATCCAGAGGTTCGTTCCACAAGAAGTCACCTCCATGTTTGTTCTCACCTCAGCCCACAGCAAAGCCCTAAACCAGGGGTAGGCAAGCTTGGCTCTTTTATGACTTGTGGACTTCAACTCCCAGAATTCCTCAGCCAGCTTTGCCTACCCCTTCCCTAAACGCTGCCCATCATTTGGCTACAGCATGGGAATTGGATCGCCTAATTTTTTTTATTTTTTTATTTCACTTTTATTTGTTAAATTTGCATCTTGCTGATTTCACTACTCACGGAAGGGTGGAGCTGTAGCTTCTCTTTGGGGGCACGTCATACTTCACACGATATTGGGAAGGCGAAGGGATAGCTGCGTCCTCTTTACTATAATCTGGGGATGTTCGAGTCAGCTGCATCCCAGGGTCCAGGAGCTTCATAACGTCATCAAAAAGCTGTGAGGGTACAGCAAGATATGACACTGTTTTTCCTGTCTGAACAATCTCAAATTTCAGATGGGGGGGGGTTGGAAAAAGCAGAGCAGGGTGCAAATAAGCAAAATCAGAGGGCCATTGCAAAGAGCCCGAGGTTTTTACTACAGGTTCCATTGTGAGAAAAACACTGAATTATTAAAGACATATGAAAATAAAGAGCTTAGGAGAACGACAGAATAATAAAGTTGGAAGGGACCTTGGAGGTCTTCTAGTCCAACCCTGTGCTCCTAAGTAGGAGACACTATACCGTTCCAGACAAGTGGTTGTCCAGTCTCTTCTTAAAAGCCTCCAGTGATGGAGCATCCACAACTTCTGGAGACAAGCCGTTCCACTGGTTATTTGTTCCCACTGTTAGGAAGTTTCTCCTTAGTTCTAGGTTGCTTCTCTTCTTGATTAGTTTCCATCTATTGTTTCTTGTCTTGCTTTTGGTGCTTTGTGGAAGCCTCTCAAATATCGGAAGACTACTATCATGTCTCCCCCAGTCCTTCTTTTCACTAGACTAAAATACCCAATTCCTGGATGACCTCCAAGGTCTCTTCCAACTCTGTTGTTGTTGTTGTTGTTGTTGTTACTACTACTACTAGTAATAGTACTAGTAGTAGTAGTAGTATTAACTGTATCGTTGATTAATAATGGAGAAATTCATTTTATTGCATTTTTAGACCATTTGGTCTAGTGGTTAAGGTAGCAGAAATCAGGAAATTGCGAGTTCTAATTCTGCCTCAGCCATGAAAGCCAGCTGAGTGACTTTGGGCCAGACACTCTCTCTCAACCCATCCTACCTGACAGGGTGGTTGCTTTGAGGAAAATAAGAGAAGGAAAGTGTGTTGGATCTGTTCACCGCCTTGAGTTATTTGTAAAAAGAATAAAGGCGGGATACAAAATAAATAAATGAACAAGTTCATTTTACCTCTGGAGGCACACTCTCTTCCAGATGTGGATAAAGTGCCAGTGGGTGTTGCACTTGGGTATGCTTGGTCTGAGTAATGTTGTCTGCCTTGGCTTTCTGAGGTGTAGGAAGTCTGGAGTGAAGTACTTTGCGCTTACTCAGCAAGTCTCTGGATTTGTACGGGACAATCTGCGAAGCATCCAGTTTCTTATACTGTAGGATTATCGGGGTGGGCCCTTTTGTGCCTTGAATTATTATGTTGTCCAAAGGTGGAGGGCAGCCACTTCTGAAATCATCCAGGCCATTTTTCAGGAATTTCCATCGCTGAGCGTTGAGAGAATCAGAGAATTTCTCTTTGTTACTGGCCTGTTTTTGAAAACACTTGGAAGGCAATTTTTCTTTATACCTGGATGGAAAGAGGTATGGCCAGCATTTAAAGCAAACGTCTCTGGGCTACAATAGTTCTAAAATGAACTGGGAATCTATTAGCTTTCCTTACATTATTCAGTTCATCAACATTTGTTTGTGTTTTGCCAAAGGACATACAGGTAGTCTTTCTTTGGCAACTGCCTTATTTAATGACCGTTCACAGTTACAACAGTGAGGGAAAGAAACTTTGCGACCAATACAAACATTGATGGCCTTTGCAGGTCTATAAATCCTAGCTTAAATATGGTGAAGGCAGGAGACACCGTTATCTAGAGGCCCATTAGCAAAAGGCAGCGTTGTACTCCTCGTTGCCTGTTTCTTGACCACTCCCTTCAACAAAGCTGATTGTGCAGAATATGGCTACCATCCAAGATTCACACTACACCAAGAATCAAGTAAACAATACCCTAGTCAGGGAACTAGTAAAGCAGACAAATCAGCTAACTGTAAGCAATAGTCTAATGGAGGAACCACCAAGAACACTCCCGCCAATGCTGATCAGGCAAGCCACTAATATATAAAAATGAGAGCAAACCTTACTTCCTTCTACCACTGATGACATTACCTAGTTTGGTAATGAAATGTCTGCAAGAAAACCAGCAAGCTCAGAGAGCACCAAAGTTCTCATATAGTTCAACTCTGAGCTACAAATATTCTCTGTTATCAGGGCTATCATCTCTGGATTGTAAAGACTACGCAATCCCTAGATGTCAGCAAAGAGCTACTTTTCTTAAAGTAAGTTTTCTTGAAACTTGACAAGCTCCTTTAGGCTTTTCAATAACCTGGTGGATGGTCCTTGACTGAATGTGTTAGACTCTCTGACCTTGTGGGGTCCTTGATGCTCTCTGAGCTTGGTTATTTTCTTGCAGACATTTCATTACCCAGCTAGGTAATAGCATCAGCACTAAAAGAGAGTGGGTTTGCTCGCCACTCTCCACTACAACACAACCAATGCAAGAGTGTAATAGACCAGCACGGCTGGCTGGGGAATTCTGGGAGTTGAAATCCACAGGTCTTAAAGTTGCCAAGGTTGGGGACTATATAGGATAAACAGGCAAAAGTCTAGTACAGCACCCTCCTGAACAACAACTAATAGTCAAAAGACATGATGAAAATTTAATTTCACAACACATGGACAGACTTAACCACAGTTTCAACTGGGAAACTGTGAGCATCCTAGGCCAAGCCCAGTTTCTAATCTTGTCCTGCATCTAGATGTCAAAATAGGTTAGTTTGGTTACAGCGGAGGCTTCAGTGCCAGCCAACTGCGGTTTATTCAAATAAACCATGTTTAAGCATTTTAATTTAGCTCATTGTTTTGAAGCCAGCTTTAACTAGGATTGAGTCAGCTTTCAAGGTCATACGGTTCCTAAAATAAGTTCTAGAGTGACTGTTCACCATGATGCTTGTTCCAAATAGACATCCCTTCCTTGTCACCTGCACACTTCATCGGCTTACTGTTACTTGCTCACCAAGGGGCAGGATACACGTTGACTGGCATTAGGGCAAGCTCTTGCAACAGCTGACCAAAGGGATCCAGCTCCCTCTGCTAAAAAGGACAGGGTAGTGCTAAGGATGCTTGTCTCCCAGCAACAGGATGCTTGAGTCAACCGTTTGTTCCAGTTGCTAGGAGACAACAGCAAAGCAGTGGCAACCATAGAGATCAGCAACTGCCACAATGGTTTGGGCCTACTTGCTTTTGCTAGAGAAGCCTCCTCCACACTGATGTTTCCTAGAGGTGTTGGAACAACTGTTTCCCGAACTGACCCATGGTGGCTGCTTTGCTGAGGGGGAATTCTGGGAAATGTAGTCAACTTTTCAGTCAAAGACAAGACCTCCCCCTCTCCCCCCAATCCTTTTGCAAACCTGGATGCTTTATTTATTTGCTGGGCTCATAGGTGGCTCCAACTGAAGAACTAGCAGCAGCCATATCCTGTCAAGCACTTGGATTAAAAATGACGCGTAAGAATAAAATCAAAAAGGCCCCAAGGACCCTTAATAACAATTCACATATAAACATGCTCCTGCATAGAAAAGCAAAATACAAATAGTCCTCGACTTACGTCCACAACTGAGCCCCAAATTTACCTTGCTAAGCAAGGCAGTTGTTAAGTGAGATTGGCCTCATTTTACGACCTTTCCTGCCACCGTCGTTAAGTGAATCACTGCAGTTTTCAAGTTAGTCACACGGTTGTTAAGTGAATCTGGCTTCCCCATTGACTTTGCTTGTCAGAAGGTCGCCAAAGGGGATCACATGACCCCGGGACGCTGCCACCGTCGTAAATATGAGTCAGTCGCCAAGCGTCCGAATTTTGATCATGTGTCCATGTTGGTGCTGCAACCGTCGTAAGTGTGAAAACTGGTCATAAGTCATTTTTTTCAGCGCTGTTGTAATTTCGAAAGGTCATTCAGATGAAAGTACAAACAATCAGCATTTACATTCTTTGATGCAATTGCTTAGTAGGCCACAGTGGCGTCCTTTCCTCCTGGACTGATTAATTGGAGCCAACATGTTTTGTTTTGCTGAAAGGAAAAAAAAAAATCCAAAACAATACTTGGGCTTTTTAGCTTTGTGGAGACATTGTTTTAATGCAATCAACTGAAAGTGGAATGTTTATGAGCACTTTATGAACTGCAGCAGGGGAACCCCACCCTACTTCTCAGTCTTCCTACACAGAGGCAATTTATTGTTGCAGCTACCATGACATTTCCCAGCAGCATTTCAGAGACTCCTCAATATTAGAAAGCTGCTGATTCTTCCATCTTTCATTCTTGTATCCAGCGTTGCTTATGCCCCAGTCCCTGGGAATCAGAGTCCCAGCTTGAATTCTATGTACTTTTGTAGTTTGTCATGGGAGAGAAAAGCAAATATTAAAGGCAAGAGCAAACTCTGTTAGTGTCCCCACAACCTCAGAAAACAGAGTTAAAGGAATTAGGATATACAGTAGTGGGTAATTTGTGCACCAACATGGTATTGGACTAAAATATTGTATGAGTTTCAAGAGGTTAGCACAGTGATGGCGAACCTTTTAGAGACCGAGTGCAACCAAAAACCCACTTATGCATCGTCGGGTGCTGGGTGGGTATGGCCCATTGGCTGGGTGTGGCCAATTGGGTGGGTGTGGCCCCTTTGGGTGGGCGTGGCTGCGGTGGTAACGGCAGACTGGGTGGGACTAAAAAGTTCAATCAATCAATTCCAACTTTGCAAGATCTTTTTTTTCCCTGCGAGAAGTTGAAATTGACTGATTGATTGAACCGCTTTTTTTTTTTTGCACACGGCGGCGGAGGCCTAAAGTGAAAAGGTTTTATAAAACCCAGCTGAAGGCCTAGGACTGAGGCGATGGCGCGCGTGCCCACAGAGAGGGCTCTGAGTGCCGCCTCTGGCACCCGTGCCATAGGTTCGCCACCACTGTTCTAGTCTATTCAATTCAGATCACAATAAATTTTAAACTCTTCCATTAGCTCATATTGTGGGGAGAATCTGTTTCCTGATCTGTTAAGAATCGGAATCTACCAATCTGCTTCCTTATAACAAATGCATTACACATTGCATTATAACCTTCTTGTGTAATTTATTCTTTTTCAATCATTAGGAAGGACAAAGAGCTACACAAAACGCTGAGGAACTGGAAACTCTATTCAACCACAGGTTTCTGAAATTATTAGCAGCATCGCCCACACATTCCCTTACATAATCTTGCAACATGTTTTAAAATGAGGGCAGAGATGCACAAAGACCACAGTATCCTTTCTGCGGAATTACAGCATCCGGAGTTGGAGTGTTCTTGTTTTATATCCATGGTGAGATGAATTTTTTTTTATCTGTTAACAGGCTTTTCTTGCTGTCTATATTTTTATCCTGCTCGGTTGGATAGACTGGAGCAGCCAGTTTGGCAGACGATGTCAACAATGAAATAAAGAAACCTGGAAATGAAACTTTATTTATTGAAAAAAAAAAAGGGTGATGATCAAAAGGATTCTCCATTCAACAAAGTGGTGCCTGGAAAGGTCAGGGAATCTCTTGAACGACTCAACTTTGCCCCTGACCTCCACAATTGATTTAAAATGAATATATTTTTTAATTAAAAAAAAAACAAAACGGCTGAAAACTTCTGACTTGGCCCAAACAGAATACAGGTAGTCCTTGACTTACAATCACAACTGAGCCCAAAATTTCTGTCACTAAGTGAGATATTTGTTAAGTGAACTTTGCCCTGCTTTATGACCTTTCTTCCCACGGTTAAGTGAATTGCTGCAGTTGTTGAGTTAGTACAGGGGTAGGCAACCTTGGCTCTTTTATGACCTTTTTTGACCTTGGACCTCAACTCCCAGAATTCCTGAGCCAGCCACGCTGAGGGGAAAGGGAGAGGTTTCCAAGCTGAGCCATGCTGGCTCAGGAATTCTGGGAGTTGAAGTCCACGAGTCATAAAAGAGCCAAGGTTGCCTACCCCTGAGTTAGTAACATGGTAGCTAGGTGAATTTGGTTCCCCCCATTGACTTTGCGTGCCAGAAAGTCACAAAAGATGATCACATGACCCTGGGACATTTCAACCGTCATAAATACCCGCCCGTTGCCAAGCAACCAAATTTTGATCATGTGACCTTGGGGATGCTGCAATGGCCGCAAGGGTGAAAAATGGCCATAAATCACTTTTTTCAGTGCCGTTGTAACTTCGAACCATCATTAAATGAATGGTTGTAAGTTGATTACAAGGCTCTATTAACCAAATTTTAAAAACTCGATGGCAGTTGCGGTTTTCCTTCCCACTTATCCCCAAGGGAATCAAGAGGGACCAATCTTGAGTTTCTGCCTAACCCTTTCCTGTCTTTCTGGGCTGGCACTTTAGTAACACCTTCTCCATATCTTCTTCAAGGCTATCTCCGTATTCCTCCATGCTGTAATGAGATGACTAATGGATGTTCTCACCCCGTTAGCAAAGAGGGCAACCTACTGCTCAGTTTGTCACAGGCTTATCACATGCTTAATCAGATCAGCACAATTTGGCAGTCCCTCAGAAAACATGCAGTAAAAGCAGGGCAGGGATCAGCCATGGGGGAAGTGAATGTCATGCTGGCTCAAAGTTCTGCCAATTCAAAGACTAGGAGATAGACTGGAAGACAAGACTGAGGAAAGTGTTAACAAATGTCTCCCTTGGCAACAGAAATTTTGGGCTCAGTTGTCATAAGTTGAGGAATACCTATATTCTGTCTGGGCCAAATAAAGATGCAGGGGACTGCTCAGAAACCACCTTTTGATGGGCTAATTTTTTGTTGCCCAGGCCCAGAATGGACTTCCGGAAATGGTATCCACACAGAGAACCAGTTGTTCACATATTTGAATCCCACCACTGGTTACAACTATAACTTGGCCCCCAAATTTTTGCTGGTAAGCAAGGCAGCTGTTAAGCGCCCCAATTTATGACCTCTTTTGCCACAGCTGTTAACGAATCACTGCAGCTGTTGAGTGAATCAGGCGGTCGTTAAACGAATCTGGCTTCCACCCATTGAGTTCGCTTGTTGGAAGCTGACTGAGAAGGCTGCAGACGGTGATCACAGAACCCCAGGATAGTGCAACCCTCATAACTACAGGCCAAGTTCCTGAATTTCGATCACGTGACCGTGGGGAATGCTGCAGTGGCCTTAAAGGTGAGAACCGGTCCTCAGTCTGTTGTAACTTCGAACGGTCACGAAACAAGGGATTGTAAGGATTACCTGTATGGTCCTCCCTTTCTTACTTCTGTTATGTCACAAGATGTTGCCCTATTTTATTATTTTTTTCTTTAGCATGCTGTTCATTAGAGGCAAGCCGATTGGTTGCTAAGCCTTCGGACTCTGCCTAGTGATCTTTAAGGCTGGTTTGTCTGCTCTTCCTTCCACCCCACAGGTGGGTCTCTCCCAAGACACCAGGGCACAAAGAGCCCCAGAGAAAAGGGAGGCAGCGGAGACCCACAAAAGGGAGGCTGTGGAGAAACTATGCGGAGGTGTTGACAAAAGGACATGTACAAAAATATGCTTGAAGCCCAGAAAACCAAGAAAGCATTAGGAAGAAACTCACGACCAGCCCCACCCGTATTTTCTGAATTATAAGTGGGAGGAATGGCAAGACCAATTAGGCTATCAAGAGTCTGTTATTTTAGCCTATATCAATAAAATATAGTTACAGTGAAACCGCTGGAGTCAGTGGCCTGGTTTGGCCTACCTTGAAGGGCTGAGATACGTATACAACTAGCTAGGTGCCACTAGGTCAGTGGTTCTCAACCTGTGGGTCAGGACCCCATTTGGGGTCGATCGACCATTTCATGGGGGTCACCAAGCAAGGCTGTCCGCCATTTTTTTGTCCGCCATTTTTTCCCCCTTTTCCGGCGGGTGCCTTACCTCCCTTGGGCTGGGCCAGCTGGTGGTCGGCCTGCTCCGTCTCTGCCGCTTGCCAGCTACACCTCGGCCAGCGCAGGGGGAGGAACCACGCATGCGCGGCACTCCCGGGCAGGGAAAGTCCTCGACTTACGACCGGTTGGGTAGTCCTCGACTTATGACCGGTTGGGGTCGCGGCATTAAAAAGGTTGAGAACCACTGCACTAGGTAGTAATTAGCTAGTGGCAGCCTTTTGTGTAGATTCAAATTTACAACGACACTGAGAAAATGGACTCATGACCGTTTTTCACACTTATGACCGTTGCAGGAGCCCCATGGTCACATGATCAAAAGTTGGACGCTCGACAATTAGCATGTATTTATGACGACTGCACTGTCCTGGGGACATGATCACAAGCGAAGTCAATGGGGGAAGCCAGATTCACTAAAATGACCGCATGATTCACTTAACAACGGCAGTTTCGCTTAACAACTGTGGCCCAAAAGGGTTGTGGAACGGGACAAGACTCACTTAACTCACTTATTGCTTAGCAATAAAAATTTTGGGCTCAATTGTGGTCGTTAAGTTGAGGACTCTCTGTATAGAACTGCAGAATGGAGACTGACTAGCAACTGGACAACCGGGTTTTACGTTTCAGGGAAACACGACTGAAATGGACAAATATAATGAAACAGTTGGAAGCAAAAGCTCAGTTCAATCTCCCCGTTGTTCTCTATACTCACTGAGAAGAAAGATCAATCTGAAAAAAAGAGTCTGGAAAAAATTCAGAGAAGAGAACTAAGATGAACAAAGGCCTGGAGACCAAAACGTACGAAGAACGGCTGCGGGACTTGGGTTTGGCTAGTCTAAAGAAAAGAAGAAATAGGGGAGACATGATAGCAATCTTCCAGTATCTGAGGGGCTGCCACAAAGAAGAGGGGGTCAGGTTGTTCACCAGAGCACCAGAGGGCAGGACGAGAAACAATGGTTGGAAACTGATCAAAGAGAGAAGCAACCTGGAATTAAGGAGAAACTTCCTGACAGGGAGGACAATCAACCAGTGGAACAGCTTGCTACCAGAAATCGTGGGCGCTCCATCGCTGGAAGTTTTTAAAAAGAGACTAGACAATCATCTGTCTGAGATAGTATAGTACAGGTCCTCCTGCTTGAGCAGGGGGCTGGACTAGAAGACCTCCAAGGTCCCTTCCAGCTCTATTCTATTCTATTCTATTCTATTCTATTCTATTCTATTCCAGTGTTGGTACCACTTTATAATGCCCTGGTAAGGCCATACTTGGAATACTACATCCAGTTTTAGTCGCCAGGATATAAAAAAGATGTTGAGACTCTGGAAAGAGTGCAGAGAAGAGCAACGAGGATGATTAGGAGACTGGAGGTAAAAACATATGAAGAATGGTTGCAGGAATTGGGTATGTCTAGTTTAATGAAAAGGAGGACTAGGAGTGATATGATAGCAGTGTTTCAATATCTCAGGGGCTTCCACAGAGAAGAGGGAGTCAAGCTATTCTCCAAAGCACCTGAAGGCAGGACAAGAAGCAACGGATGGAAACTCATCAAGGAGAGAACCAATCTCAAATTAAGGAGAAATTTCCTGACAGTGAGAACAATTAATCAGTGGAACGGCTTTGCCTCCAGACGTTGTGGGTGCTCCATCACTAGAAGTTTTTAAGAAGAGACTGGACAGCCATTTGTCCAGAATGGTATCTCCTGCTTGTGCAGGGGGTTGGACTAGAAAACCTCCAAGGTCCCTTCCAACTCTGTTAATCTGTTATTTAGGGCTGCTGCATCAAAAGGCCAAAATCCCCATTTCAGTACAACTGTGCAGATAAGCCCCATCTTCAACCACATCGAGCAGTGGTATAATAATAATAATAATAATAATAATAATAATAATAATAATAATAATAATAATAATAATAATAATAATAATAATAATAATAATAATAATAATAATAATAATAAAAGTTGGAAGGGACCTTGGAGGTCATCTAGTCCAACCCCCTGCTCAGGCAGGAAATCCTAGAGGCCTATACTATTTTGGACAAATGGCTTCCTTGTTGGAAGCCTTCAGAGAAGTAGGTTGCAAAAGCAGGTTAGGGAGATGGGGATCACTGGGAAAGAAACTCAAGCAGCCAGTGTTAATGGAGAGAGCCAGCATTGGAGAAAAATGATTGTAGCAGAGACTGGTTAGTGGCTAGAAGGGAGGGAACATACTTGTATTTTCAACACTCCCTAACCACAACTCTGGTCATGCACACACACACACACACACACACACACACACACACACACACTCCCTTGGCTTGGTTTCCAATATTAAGGTTGACAGAGAGCTACAGATCTTACATTCCTTAGCATGTTGACTTAAAAGGGAACATGCTGCTTTTAATCAGGTACATCTAAAGGTGACTTGAGACTGTTTCGTTCA